ACCGGCGAAATAACTTTTGAGACTACATACGTCTCCTGCGAGTATTTACGCACCAGCTTCGACGAAAAACGATCGGCTCCGCGTGACAGCGTATGCTGTCGCACCCTTACGACGTCTCCTACCGCAAATCGTTCATCTCGGTGATGACGAATATAGTATCTAGCTTGTCGCTCAAAACTTCGACCTAAATTATCTGCAACTAAGTCGTGTGATTGCATTAAACGTCCAATACGGTCTAACCACGCCGCAGTATCAGGACACGGAATGTCCGTCGCACCTTCGATTAACTTTCGATAATATTTCGGCGCACGCGGTTGCCACCCGTAATTCAACATCGCTGGGGAAACATGCAGCGAACTATGTACAGCTGTATTATACGCATGCCTAAATTCATGGACGTGCTCGTCCCACGCTTGGTGATCTAACTCAACAAAAGATATGATCCTTGTCTTCAAAACGCGATTTACGCGTTCGACGGGATTCGCTTGCGCGTGATACGGCGGTATACGAGAATGATGAATACCATAAGCTTTTGCAACCTCATCTACCAGCTTATTCACAAACTCTGTGCCGTTATCAGTCAAAATCACTTCAGGACACCGGAAACGATGAACGATGAGTTTATCAAACTCTCGAATTATCGTCGGTCCATCGGCTTTTTTAATTTTGCATAACTAAGTGGAAATTCCATACAATCCATAGCAACCACTGTCCATGGTGTGTTCACGATTCGTCGACACATTAGCCCAGCAGCTGGTTGTTGCGACACCTTCGACGTTTGGCAAGCATCGCAATCAGCAATGTAACGTCGGACATCTTCTTCCAGTCCTGGCCAATAATAATCGACTTTAATGCATGAAACCGTTTTCTCAATGCCTAAATGACCTGCATCAGGTGGATCATGGTTTTCTTCGATTATTCCCTGATGTGCGGCCTTCGGTGGAACTAATTTCCAGGCATCTAAGTCTTCAATGACGCTCGATACGAGAGAATTCGGCATATGTCTGTACAAACGCTCCTCCTCGACACGCCAGACCTTAAATTTCGTCGGGAAAGCTAATACGTCGCGTTTTCGTCGCGAGTACCAATCGTCAACTACTTCAGCAGCAGGTATTTCGTCAGCCTGCTCAGGCAATTCGTCAATTGCCATGATTTCATCACAATATTCCAGTTCGTCTGGTTCAAACATTCGTGATAACGCATCAGGAACGTCGTTCAATGAACCCTTTCGATACTCAATCGGAAACTGGTACTCGGCTAAACGCATCGCCCATCGACTCAGTCTCGGCGTCTTACTTTTCAAATCACGCAACCAACGAAGACTGCTGTGATCAGTAATAACTTTAAATCGATATCCTTCGAGATATCGTCGAAAATGCTCACACGCCCAAAGAACTGCGAGGCACTCGCGTTCAGTCGCTGAATAATTTCGCTCAGCTTTATTCATGACGCGACTCGCGTATGCTACAACTCGCTCACCATCTTCATGTTCTTGAGTCAAAACAGCTCCAAGACCAGTCGCGCTCGCGTCAGTCTGCAACACGAACGTCTTCGAATAATCAGGACACGCCAGCACTGGTGCTGTCGCCAAAGCCAGTTTCAACGCTTCAAAAACCGTCTCTTGCTCCGCGGTCCAGGTCCGTCTGACCTTCTTACTCGTTAACTGCGTCAATGGCTCGGCTATCGTCGCAAAATCAGGTATAAAACGTCGATACCACGAGGCCATTCCTAAAAATCGTCGCATTTTCTTCAACGTCGTCGGCCTCGGGAACTCAAGCATCGGTTTTATACGCTCTTGATCCACTAATAAACCCTTCCCGTTCACGCGATAACCCAAATAACGAACCTCATTCGTACAAAATTCACATTTATCAGCATTTATCTTCAAATTCGCGGCTTTAAGACCGTCAAATACTTCATCGAGCACTTCTAAATGCTCCTCAAACGACTCGGTAACGATTATCAAGTCGTCAAGGTATCCAAATACCTTCAAACCACGTGTTTGTCCCAACATTTTGTCTATTAGACGCTGTAAATGCGGCGGCGCTCCAGCAAGGCCAAACGGCATGCCTACATACTGGAACATACTCCTTCCGGGTACACAAAACGCCGTATACTCTTGACTTACCGGGTCGAGTTTCACCTGGTGGTACGCATGTTTCAAATCTTTCTTCGAAATAAACTTTGCGACACTCAATTGGTCCAAGATCCATGTCATCAGCGGCAATGGATACGCACATGGCTTCGAAACGGCATTTAATCGTCGGAAATCCAGGCACATTCGGTACTCACCTGTCGATTTCTTTACCATGATGACTGGATTGCACCAAGCACTCGTCGAAGGCTCAATTATGCCCGCCGCAAGTAGATCGTCTACCTGCCGGCACATTTCTGCCTCAATAATCGGAGAAGTTGGGTAATTACGCTGTCGAATCGGTTCATGACCCTGCACGTCGATTTCATGGATCATCAGATTCGTAAACGTCGTCTCTCCTGTATAATTCACGTTAGGCAATCGTCGTGCCAGCAATTCGTCTAACGCTGACTGCTGATCCGGGATTATCTAAACTATGGCCGCTATTTCCTCCTCGATTAGGTAATCTTTCGCGTTCCAATCGTAGATTTTGCCCTCGCGTCGAGTCCACCATCGCTCTGAACCCCCGTCGTAGCGAATACCAAAAGCAATTATCGCATCCATGCCTAGTATCATCTCGTACTTCAACTTCGGGATGACACGAACCTCAATCGGCATGGTTTCGTCGTTAATCGCAAGTGGCAGCGTAATCAGCGATTGCACTGACATCATCGAACCATCAGCAACTGCTGCTGAATTTCGAGGTGCTGGTCTCACTCGAGCACCGCACCCATAGACCCAATTCAACTCGTCAACTTCCCTGACGCACGTCATCGTCGAACCGGTATCTAATAAAGCCTTAATCTCCCTTTCACCTATCTTTACATCTATAAAGGGTCTTACATCGTCGCCCTCAGACTGCATAGGACATACTTCCTCGGCTAATTCAAGAAAAATTCGCTCACGCTCATCAATCGGTACGCAGATCCACTGGTGAATCGGCCAATCAGCTTCTTGATGTTCACGCGAGCAGTAAAACGCATTCTGGCACCCCAAACATCGCCATAATTTGCCTTCTACGCCACAAATGCCACAGAGGTGACGTTGTCGCAAAAGGTCTTCATCTGTTATCGTCGGTGGTTTCACGTCACATCCAGGTGGGGAACCAGTATCCGAGGACTGGTTCACGGGCCCACAAGGCTCGATGTCGATGTTAAATATGTCTGGCAGCGGCTCGTTCGACATGTTCACTTCAACATCAATCATCGGCCCATTTACGTCGAGGGAAATCAGTTCTGGACCCGTCCTTACTGATTCCCGACGTCGTTTTCCGGCCTGTTGTACTCAAAAAACATCATGCAACACGTGCATCCAGGCGTTGGTTCTGTTCGCGTTCCACAGCCGAAACAGAACTTCACTTGTCTTGCCTCGGGACAATTACGCCATCAGTTAATTTAATCAGTTAACGACAGAAACAATTAAATCATCACGCAATTCACTCAATCGCAAGTAATTAACTAAATAATAGATAAACAAAAAAATTAAATCTTCGCTTGATTTAATTGATAATAATCAATTAAATAATAATACAATAGAATAACGTCCTCGAAATTCAATTAATAACAATTAATTAAAATAATCAAACATTAAATTGTCGCTAAAAATTGTTAATCATAAATCGTCGCTTAATTCAGTTAATTTTTGTAAATACAAAAAAAAATATTTACTAGTCAATCGTCGCTTGGTTCAATTAATTACAATTAATTGTTTAAAAAAAAAAATTAATCTTCGCAAACAAAACATAAAAAAATTATAAACTTTGTCTGATTTAATTGATGATAATTAATTAACTAATTCACTCTGGTAATCTATGCATCAAAATGTAATTAATAATAGTTAATTTATAACTTTAACTTTTTAAATTTTCGCCGAATTTAATTTAATAATAATACTAAAAAAAAATTCCTCCGTCGCAGTTAAGTAATAATTAAATTATATAATAAATGATTACGTTCGCCGGTTTTAATTAATTATAAAATTAATTAAAGATTAATCAAATTAAATTAATTTGATTTTTTTAATTCGCCGGATTTAAATAATAATTAATTAAATTATTATCGACCTAAATAAATCATTGAACTTCAACAAACAAAAATAATCACTCAGTGTCTCGTCACTGAGTCTCACACAGTCTCAACTTCTACGCTAAGTCCCAATCGCTCCGCTGAGAGTGGGCAACTTGCGTCCGACTGCCTGTCTCGAATGCGGCAGCCGCTTCTCGGGTTCCCCCTCCGTAGGCGAACCTTTTACTCGACGTCGATAAATCGCACGAACCCGATGCTCGATCAATGGGTAATCGAACTCGTCGATTACCCCGGGAGTACAACCGTCGCAATTTCCACAATAATAATAATTATTTTTATACCACAGTAATACACACAAAAAAAAATGGCGGTACCGAAATACCTCGTGGGATTATTTATGACTGGTTGACTCCATACAACCTTGAAATTCCTTGGCGATGTGTCACACCAAGCAACGACAATTTTAATTACGAATGATAAAAAAAAATACTTTATTATGATAAATCCCACGAGTTATTTATTTAAAGAACAACCGTGGCCACTCACCCTGGTCTAAGACGTAAATCTACGTTGTCCGTCGATTGGCCGCACCAGATCGTACTCGGCTTCTACGTCGACTAGTTTGGACAATAAACTCCTTGGTGAGGACACTTGCTGACAATCAATAATAATCAGCCACAGCCGATTGTCGTCGAGTTGGTTTAATTTTTATTAAATAAATAATTAGTGACAGCCAATTATCGTCGTAATGCCGTAATAAATTTTTGACAAACAAAACCGCAATTATCAACACAATAATCAATAAATAGCACACTACGTCGTGGCTAATTCAAAAGAAATCGTCAGATTTCAAACGCAAGAATTCCAAAATATTCTTTGTAATAAAAATCTCAAAATCAGACAATAAAAAAAATCACCAACAAATTCTTCAGAATAGAAAAACGTGTCCGCACGCGGCAAATCGAAACGTGGAAGAAAGAAAACATGAGCACATGTTGTATTCCTCGTCTCTCCCCTCTTTGCTGGGTCAGTCGTTAGCTTTGAACTCCAAAGATGGCGCCGCAAGTCCAATTTCCCAATATCGACGTTTGAATGATTTACTGGCTGGAGCATTGGCGCGTTCGACAGCCACTTTTCCGCCTTCACGCATGCGCCGATTGCTCACTTCAAGTTCCTGTAAGTCCGTCGTTCCAGCTCGTTCTCGAGACAGCCATCCGCCCGTCGTTGATGATCTTGCAGATAATCTGCGTCGATAATCCTCGTTGGTCTCTCTTCGCGGGTTCGTGACCGGTCATGAGTACCATTCTTACAATAAAATTACTTAAACTAACTTAAAGATTACTTAATTACTAAATTAAATTAATTATCCTCGCAATAAATTTTGTTTTCGCGCGCAATCGAGCTTCGGTCAAATTTCCTCACGCAAAGGCGACTCGGTCGCGGCGAATCAACCAATGGACATTAAATCAATTTAAAATTAAGAACTCAGTTTAAATTTCTTTTTAAATTAAATTCAAAATAAATTATCATAATAAAAAAAAACGTCTTAACAGGTGGCGCTAAAAGCGGCCTGTTACAGTGTGTGTGTGTGTGTGTGTGTGTGTGTGTGTGTGTGTGTGTGTGTGTGTGTGT